GAAAGGAAATGTCGGGGCAGCGACTCACCTGCGATCAGGTAGCGCTGCAGGAAGGTGCCGTTGCCGTAGCTGTTGAAGTTGAAGTGGTCCAGCGTCTGCTGGAAATACTTCTCTCTGAGCTGGGGCGGCTGGACTCCTCGCGTCTGCAAACATGAACCCCGTCACCCCTGCGGCACCCACCTATCCCATGCGCTGGCATACGGACGGCAGGTCGCTACAGAAACTAAAATGTATTTTACAAGAGCAGAACCAAAGTCAGCGATCTGAGCTACGGACGTCTAACTTGATCTCACCCCCCAATCACTTAACGTACTCTACGTACACAGCTAAGGGGACCACAGTTTCTGATTTGTTCCCCTGGAATAAACTCTTACAGTTTTCCGGGTGGTTTCTGTCTGACACTGATGAAGCCCGTTAACACCCACACTGCCGCCTCGACCCTCGACCCTCGACCTTGACGATTACTGCACCCCGATCGCGCAGCGCAAAGAGGTGCCGAGTGACAGAGGGAATCTGACCGCCCTGCGCCCTCACCTCTCCCGTTCGCGCCCCGTGTCCGGCCCCGTCCGGACAGCCGTCCGTTAGCACAGCCCCTGACAGCTCCCTGAGCGCAGAGAAGGCGTGCGTTTCCCCATTTAAACAGAACAAAAACAGGAGCACGACGCCGGCCGGGCGAGTCGTCATTCTTCACGGTAAGACGAGCGATCTTAAGCACGACTTACTAAATAACTTCTTGGCGGTGGACCAGCGGTCACATGATTAACGGGAAACCGGGTCATGTGACCCCCGCATGGTCATGTGACCCCCCCCTCCCTCGTGAGGGCGCGTGGCTGCGGCGTCAACGTTTTCAAACCGAACGAAGCGCCTGTCTCGTGCAGGTCCGTTATTTAAAAAAAAGAAGTATTTGGGGGTTTTTCTAACGTAGAAATGAACAATTCTAATCGATAATATCTATAATTGTACGGACGACACCTAACTGCTCGTCGACCACTTTTTCAAATGGGGGAACAGGTAAAGATTTATTCCGGAAAAAAACAGACACGACGGTTTCGTCACCCGGGGCCGCCTTCTGGTGTGAGGGGAACCGGCAGCTAATCAAGACTTTTTTATTGACAACAATTATTTGCTAATTAAAAAGCAAATTAGTCGTATATAAAACAATCTAACTGAAACAACTGAAAAAGCTCATAGTAAAGTTATTAACATAGTCCTAAATCAG